CCTGGGTTCAGGCAATTCTCCTGCCTCAGCCTCCTGAGTAGATGGGATTACAGGTAAGCGCCACCACGCCCAGCTGATTTTTTGTATTTTTTAGTAGAGACGGGGTTTCACCATGTTGACCAGGATGGTCTCGATCTCTTCACCTCGTGATCCACCCGCCTCAGCCTCCCAAAGTGCTGGGATTACAGGCTTGAGCCACTGCGCCCGGCCTAATTTTTGCATTTTGAGTAGAGGCTTTCGCCATGTTGGTCAGGCTGGTCTTGAACTCCTGACATCAGGTGATCCACCTGCCTTGGCTTCCCAAAGTGATGTGATTACAGGCGTGAGCCACCATGCCTGGCCAAAAATTTTACTTTATCAAATTTATCCTTTTACTGATGCTAATAAAAATCTGTGGTGGCTTACGCCTGTAATCCCAGCACTCTGGGAGTCTGAGGCAGGAGGACTGCTTGAGGCCAAGAGTTTGAGACCAGCCTGGGCAATATAGTGACATGTCACTCTACAAAAAATAGCCAGGTATGGTGGCCCATGTTTGTCGTACCAGCTACTCTGGAGACTGAGGCAAGAGAGTCTCTTGAACCTTAAGGTCGAAGTTAAGGTGAGCTGTGATCATACCACTGCCCTTCAGCTTGAGCAACAAAGCAAGACGCTGTGTCAACAAAACAAAACAAAACAAAATCCTTTGCGTCACCCGATCCAAAGAAGGGTGGGAGTCCGGTGAGAGGGGAAGAGGAAGCTAGGCTGCAGGTCAGTAGTCAGCAGGGACAGGATATGTAAGCTCTCAGCCCAGTGCCATTGTCCATATAGCTCCCACCTATCCCTAGTCTCAGGAAAATGGCTCCTCACTTTACCCAAAGTAGATATGGGTGTCTTCCTGCAAGATAAATACACCCATACCATTTCCCTCCCTTCAAGCGACCATACTGACCCCATGGTATGGTTAGTATTCGGGTTGTAAGTTTATCACATAGCAAGGTACTTCTTTCTTTGTGATGGCTTTAACCTTGATAACTATCTGTTTTCCTGGGCTGCTTCCGGGACCCATCATTCTGAGCCTTTCTTTCTTTTTCATTGCCTAAGTCCAAGACCAGCGTAGCAGTACAAGGTTATGATAGTTGATGCCTGGGAAAACAGACTATCGTATTCTGATCTATGAAAATTCCTGATTTAGAAATACCGTATTGGAGTTAAGAAAAACATT